TATATATATATAATTTTATCAATTTTTAAATTTAATTTAATTTTGGTTTTACTAGGTCTGACTACAACTATTAATCAGTAGTGAGGGAGGTACTGCTGCAGTATTGTTTTTAACATGTGTTTAGATTTTTCTATATCATATGCCATAGTTTGCTTTACAGAAACTTTGTCTAACCATGGAAAGGAGCCATCCATGATTTTAACAGTGGTAATTATAGTCACAGCGAAAACTATACAGTTAAAATATGGTTACTATACAATGACTATGGTAAATTTTCATTAGGAATCAGAATATTGCATAGCCTTAGTGACTGCAAGGACTGATCTTCTCAAATTCATAACAAGGTTTTATGTTTTTCCACAGCTCTTAATAATCTCATAACCATGCCTGCAGCCAGAGGTCACCGAGGTCCGGACCTCGGTAAATTTTTCATGTTCAGAAATAAAATTTGTTCTCTGAATGACGAATTTGCTATTTTAAACTCCTCATATGAGTGTCTGCATGTTTAGACAGTTTGCAAGAATGTTTAGCGTCCGTGGTATGAAAATGATTGCTGTCAGACGCTGGCGGAGTGTGCCTGGCTTGAGAGAGTTGAGAGTGAGGGCGCGGGACTCGTCTTTTAATAAACTCGTCTCTTAATTTGGCACTTTAGAAAGTTAACAAAGTGGGAAGTTGTAGTTTAGGTTTAGCGATATATTTATCTTATGTTATTTGCAAAGGATTTGAAATTATTTTAGTTAATTTTTTATTCATTTTACGTTTTTACGGGTTTTATTTGTTTTCATAGCAATATCTGGCAACACTGATCACACAGGTGTCCTGACATTTTATCCTACACGTCAGATTGCTCTACCAGGGTTTACTGCGCATGCGCACATCAATATTGCGTCCTTTAATAAAACACAATCTAATAGGTAGAAACAATTATTTATTGTTGGTTTCCTCTAGCTGTATCCCTTCTAGCTACAACCGCGAATATAACACACAATTACTGTATTTGCATTACTGTAAGGGTAGGTTTAGGGTTGTGGTAGGTGTAGACGTTAATAAGACATAATTTTACAGGTAGCATTTTTCGTTGTCGAATTGTATACCCACTGTTTTAATGGGAGGTAGCAAAATCTGACAGGGTAGCACAAATCGACAGAACAGCCATGAAGAAGTCTATGCTATTTCTTTCAGTATAGTTACATTCTCATGCTAAAAACATTCATAAGATCACTAGACAAAGTTATTATCTATATAGCAATGGTTATTAATGAAAACTATAACAGTAACATGTATTGTTGCATGAATAATAAACAACTGATAAAATTATCCACCCCTAATCTATAGTAAAGTATAAATCAACTTTGATGCAATAAATATGGTATAATTGTAGTACAATGTTCATCCCTCCAAAACAGATAAAACATCTTTCACAAACATCTACATGTCTGTCTCTAAAGTGTTTAGTGTATATAATGAGTTGTATTTGTAGGGGTTATTATAGCACAATTAACTATCCCTTCTAGCTACAACCGCGAATATAACACACAATTACTGTATTTGCATTACTGTAAGGGTAGGTTTAGGGTTGTGGTAGGTGTAGACGTTAATAAGACATAATTTTACAGGTAGCATTTTTCGTTGTCGAATTGTATACCCACTGTTTTAATGGGAGGTAGCAAAATCTGACAGGGTAGCACAAATCGACAGAACAGCCATGAAGAAGTCTATGCTATTTCTTTCAGTATAGTTACATTCTCATGCTAAAAACATTCATAAGATCACTAGACAAAGTTATTATCTATATAGCAATGGTTATTAATGAAAACTATAACAGTAACATGTATTGTTGCATGAATAATAAACAACTGATAAAATTATCCACCCCTAATCTATAGTAAAGTATAAATCAACTTTGATGCAATAAATATGGTATAATTGTAGTACAATGTTCATCCCTCCAAAACAGATAAAACATCTTTCACAAACATCTACATGTCTGTCTCTAAAGTGTTTAGAGTATATAATGAGTTGTATTTGTAGGGGTTATTATAGCACAATTAACCCCACCCGGG